ATTGTTCAGATGCAAAAGTGGTGAATGAGTGTGATAAGAATTTACAAAGGAACTCACCAAATTCGCTCGGCCATATGAGGTAATTCCCATCTAGGGCTCCAAGGAAATTCCGTTAGAGGAAGTGACTTGATCGGCACACCTTGGTGGTTGAAATGCTACATCATTACGAGAATATAACCCCGTCAATCAAGAGTTTCATTTCAACTAGAAAACATGTATATGAAGACAATAATCGAAACAAACTGCACGTGTGCAGCAGATATTTGTGATGAACTAGCCATATATATGGTTTAGTTTTGCTGTAGGTTTAGTTTTGCTGTAATCATTAATGCATAGATTCGGATAATTATCCTTGCCTGTGAACTTTGAAGCGTCAAAGAAGGCCTTTGCTTTGGAAACTGAGTTGAAATCGAAACATGAACCTATACAAAACAAAACGATCAGAAGCTTGGTCGCTGGAAAGGGGAAGATTAACTAGAGTGCAGTACCCAAATGTAGACATAAAACAACTGAAAATAGAACAAAAGTACCACCAGATATTGCGCAATAACAAAATAGAGCGTAAAACTCTTGCTATTGACAGCAATAAACGACACGGAATCCACGTGAATTACAGCTAGATTAGTCAAAAAGCTTATAAGAAAGATAGAAACAAAATATTATAGATCAAATGAGTTCTTAATTCTTAATCAATGACCCAGCACATGCTTTAGCTTAAAGGAATATTCCATACAAAGATGATACAGTGATGACCATATATACCAGGAACGTGAAAACTCCAGAAGCGGCAAGGAACGTTGCCTTTCTGCATAAGACCTGCCCAATTAGATATGAACAATTAGTCTTAATGTTTCAAGAACTTCGCACCGAGAAATACATGCCTAGGATGCCTACCGAATCAGCTTCCACTGGTCTTCCAAACTGAAGGGCTAATGCCTCGATAAAGCGCCTTCTAACATCAACCAAGGAGACTGCCTCCAAAACCTTAGTAACAAGACAATATATTCTTACAAATATGAAATATTTTGTACGTGAAAGTGCAAAATATAAACTGAAATGCAGCTGACCTGTTTCTCAAGGGATTCTTCAAGATGGGGAAGATATTCAGCCATGCACCTTTCAAGAGTAAGAAAGAAAAAAAAACCCATAACGAACCAATAATAGTAGAGTATAAAGGACTAAGAATTTATAATTCAGAGGACTTAGACATACATTCCATTCAACCATGGAGGAAGTTTGACTTCATCAATGGAAAATAGAGTCTTCAACTCTGAGGTAGACACTAGTTTCAAGCAAGGAGCTGATGGAGTGGAAACATATTTTTTCTCAACAGGATATACAATCTGCACAGCCCAAAATACACATCATTGAATATGATGTCCTGGAAGAAAATTAAAAAATGGGGGAAAAATAATTCAAACTTGGGGGGGGGGGGGGGGGGGGGGGAGACAGAGGGAAAGAGAATCTCAACCTGCAAGTATATCTTCTGTTGATGTCTCCAGGGGTACACAGGCACCATCTTATTTATGTTCATGTCCAATAGAGGAACTGCAAATTTGACCTCCTCTGGCTACACTAAAATTCAGAGGCATAAGGACCACATTTATAATCAGAAGCTACACGGCCAAGTTCTATTCAACACAGATCTTTCGATAGAGCCAATAACAAAAGTTGAACATGTTTTTTACCCAATCATAAATACCTTGTCAACTCCGGAACTCATCTGCATCTCAATGCCCTGAAGCAAAGTGTAAGGATTTAATAGCTGTAAGGATTTAATAGCTAAGAAATATTTCATTAAATTAGATATTCATGAAAATGTTCCTCCAAGTTCATCCCTCACACGCAAACAGACGTCTAGTAATATATTGAATTTCTCATGGTTGTTTGAAATATTACCTCTCGAGCAACAATTGTGCTAATTTCAAACTTCAACCTGTCGTCATCAACTTCTGCAACACGCTTCTTCTGGTAGGACATGTATTGATCCCTTTAAAATAGAACAACAGTATTTCATTGAAAATTATGAGACTAGTTAGCTACACATTATTCCCAAAAGAAATACAAAACTCCAAAGAAAATGTACAATCGAAAAATCCATCACCTCAGTTCATGAATGAGAAGCATAAGCTGTGTCGGGTCTCTGCTGTTCCAATCACTCAAACACTTCATGTGAAACTTTGAGTCCCCTTCTCCTTCATCGCGCGATACAAGAAACTGCGGAAATTTCTCATCATCCGGTCCGAATATAACATCGGGTGCAGAGAACGGAGACTCCGAATCAAATACAACATCCCCTACAACAAATCAAAACCCCACATTCTTAGCAATCGAAAACAATCAGTACTACATGAAACTACCTATTACAACAATCCACTCACATTTGATAACGTCTAGACAGTAGGAAATGACTAAGGTGAACCGGTCGAGAAATCCCGGGTAGTACTTGCTGCCAGACCACTTGTTCTCAATCTGCAAAGCAAAATTGATCATGTAAAATGTCCTAAAGAAATCTTTGACAAAACCCTAGAGTGTACAGCAGATCATGCAACAAATGAAAACCCACGAACCCTAGATTGTTTTGGATTCCAAGAAAATGCCTCAGTAAACTATTACCGTCGGGGATGAATGAAATGAAATGAAATTTTGGAGTTAAATTTTCTCCGCAATTTGTTTTTGCAAAATTGGAAATGAAGCGGAGACGTTGGGTTTGGGAGGCATTACCTTGACGACGAGAGGGAAGTGAGTAAGGAGGTAGTTGAGCTGGGCGGCGACGAGCGGCGGAACACTCTTCGACGACATGGTGGTCGCAGAGCGATGAGACTGAGAATTGGATTTTGTGGAAGTGAAATCCATCACCTGAACTGAATCATAGAGAAGGGGAGAGCTAAACGGCGCCGTACAGTGCAGCATTATTAACCCGGAGGCTGCCCTCCCACTTCCGTGGCCTCCATGCCTTCCACTTTACGTGATCACGATTAAGTCACGTCAATATTTTATATTACTATTTATTTTTATCTTATTATCTCTATAAAAAGATAATATAAAATATTGACGTGGCTTAACAGTGATCACACAAACCAAGAAGGCACATAAAGTGTGAGGGCAGAGAATCTGCCTCCTATTAACTCGTGCCTTTGGCCCAAGAAATCGTCATGTAAGACCATCTCCAACCGATCTATCCAAAGGATCATAGAGCTAAAAATTGTTTGAAATAACACAAAAACCATCTCTAATCGAGGGCTAGGCCAAAGGACTTGTGTGCTTCATTGGGCCCAAACCCCCAAATCAGGCTAGCGGGCTGGCCATTTCCAACCAGCCCTCAAGCGCCATAATATCAAGCTTGACATTTTGCTAGCCCTCAAGCTCAACCCATTTTAATGCCAACAACTACCTAGCATCAACATGACGCCAGCTAGCAATGGCTAGTTAACATCATGCTGTTGGCAGATTACCGTTGGAATTTGATTTTTTATTTTTTTTTGGACAAAGTTAAAAAAACAAATCTAATTTTTTGTTCCTATAAATACCTACACCATTGAAAGCTGAAGATAAAAAGTGCCACGTACATAAAAATCCTATCTAAATTTTGCACAACCAATTACATCTAGACACATGGCACTCGAAATCCTATCCGAAAAATTATTTAAATTACATAAAGATAAGAAATCTGGAAAGTTACTCACTTTAGCGACACATGTCACTATAAATCCTATCTTAAAAATTATTAAGATTACATAAAGATCAGAAATCTGAAGATTTACTCACGTTAACAACACATGTTGCTCGAAATCCTATCCAAAAAGTTTTTGAGATTATATAAAGATAAGAAATCCGGAGGCTTATTAATTTTGTGACAACTGGTACTCAAAATATGTCCGAAAATATTATTTTAATATGGTAGTTTAATTTAATTAACTATATTAATTTAATTAAAATAATAAATTATGTTTGGCCTATGACCCTTTGGCCCCCTCGGTTGGAGATGATTTTTTGTCAAATGACTATGTTTGGCCTATAGCCTTTTGGCTCGTCTCGGTTGAAGATGGTATAAAATATAGTCTAGCATCGTTCATTAAAATATAATTTCTTGCAAGGCTATAAGGCTAAAGGGAGTCATTTGACCCTCATTCGGTTAGAGCTGGCCTAAGTGGGCTTCATCTAGCTGTTGGTTTTCTAAGCTTGGTCCAATGTTAGGTATAATTTTTTTAAGTTTTTTTAATTCAAAAATGGTCTTTAAAATTAGCATAAGTCTCACTTTGGTCTCTAAAATTTAAAGTTGATGGAAGTGGTCCTGAAATTTCCCACCGTCAATCATTTTAGTTCTTTTGTGATAAATCTTCGTTAATTTAAGGGTATTTTTATCAAATCAACTCCTTTTAAATTGGTGGTTTCTTCATTTAGAGAAAATATTTCACATAATAACCAAAATAATTGACAGTGGCAATCTAAGGGACCACATATATCAATTTTAAATCTCAGAGATAAAAGTGAGGAGTTATGACAATCTCATATACTATTTAAGCTAAAAACCCCTTCTTTATATATACAAGTGTCATTTGGGTGAATAGAAAATAAAATTATCAGGGAAAATCGAACTTAGAATCTCAAGTGCCTAATACATACTCTTAAATTGAGCTACAATTCTTTTGTGTAATGTGCCACTTAATATTACAATTTAGTGGTATTCATTTTCACTTGTAAGTGAAATGCCTTATATTTGATTCTCACTATAGACGAATTTAAAATATATTATTACTAACCCATTATAAGGTTAAGGCTGTCATCTCTTATTATTGTAAAGAATATCGTTTGTTCAGATAAAATAAAAAACTTCATTGACATCTACCTAAGCATTAAAAGACACTAATGAGTGGTTGAAATTTATTCAAATAAGATTTAATTAAATCTCAATCACTCATTTGTGTGCGGCCGAGAATCATGCCACATTATAATCCTATACTAACCCAGCCCAGTAAGGACAGAATTGCGAGTCCAGATCCAAATAAAAGGGCAAAACCGGCAAGGCGAAAGTATGAAAACCCTAATAAAGTCTCAGTCTCCGTCCTTTAAATCGTCTCGCCGCGGCCTCCGCTTCTCCAACCGAAAACTCCAGAGCCTCTCTCCCCTTCTTCCCCATTCTGTCTTTTCTTTTCTTTTTTCTCTTTAATTAGTATTTGTGGAAAATTAGTAGGAAATCAGGTGATGAATTTGGATTAATCATCTCACGACGGTCGTCTGAGACTCGGTGTCGAAGCTGAAACGATCCTTTGCATCTGATGGTTTCTAAACCTGTAATTTTTTTTTCTTCTAATTTTTGTATGAATTCTTCTTACATTTTCTCTTTGATTTCATCGAGAAATTAAAATTAATTACTTTAACCCGCCATTGCTTTTGCTTGTGAAGTTAATATTTAGATTAATGTACTTTTAAAATATGAAATCTTTGAGTTTTTATTTATTTATTTATTTATTATTTTTGTAAATTGAAGAGGCACGATGAGGAGTAATTATAGTAGTGGTATGAGGTTCATATATCGATGACTAATAATTTTAGTCCTTTTCATTCTGAGTGCCTTTATCCTTCTTATTTTTTATTTTTTTTAAACGAATTGCGGGAAATTTTAATTTCTTGGTCAAGAACCCTAATGTAGCTTCTTCAGCAAGAAACATATGATTGTAAATTGTAATCGAAGATGATTCATCTCCAGTTTAAGATCAATGAGCCTAGAGTCGAGTTTACATATAATTATGCTCATCTTGTTTCTGTAAAAAGTACTTCTATTCTTAGGAGTTTTGTTGCTGTAAGTGTTAAAAATCGATTTGATATGATTTTTACATGAAAGTATTTGAAAGCCATTTTTATAACTATGGAAATATTTTTAAGAGAAATTTTATTTGGACCAGTTATCTTATCTTGGATTAGAAATGGTTGGTTTAGTGGGTGAGAAATGTTTGGTTTGGTGATTTCAAATTGGAAGTGTTGGCTTGGTTTGTGCAAGAAGGGCAGGGATGTGGTGTTTTATATAAAAATTTTAGTGAAGAGATTGCATTTAGTTTAGTTGGAATCTCTCTTCATCATGCATGAGAGAATTATTAAAGGTTTAAGGTAATGACAGTCAATAATAAGCTATATGAACCATGCAGAAGAAATTTTCTAACTTCTCAATACCATTTGACCCCTCAATACTATTTGAATGACAGATTGAAGGTAATAACAACCAGTAATAAGTTAATCTATCTTCATCATGTATGACAGATTTATTATTGGAAATTCTAACTCCTCAATACTCTTTGAGTTCCCCAGTTTATTTTGTGGATCTTGAATGAACTCTTAGATAGATTATTTGTAGAGAATGATTGTTTATTTTGTTTCTTTGTTTGAAATAGGAGAGAAATGTTTGGTTTAGTAATTTTAAATTGGAAGCCTTAGGCAAAGGGTTGGCTCTATGCAAGAAGTACAGGGATGGAGGGCTTTATATAAGAATGTTAAGTGAAGATGTTGCATTTAGTTTAGTTGGGTTTGTGGAAGAACTAAATTAAAAGCAACCTCTTCACTAACGTTCTTATATAAAGCCTTCTAAGCCTCCCATCCATCCACTTCTCGCACAAAACCAAACATTTGGCCAACGCTTCCAATTTGAAATCATTAAACCAACCATTTCTCCCCCATTTCAAAGAAAGAAAAAAAAAACAAATTCTCTACAAATAATGTCTATCCAAGAGTTCATTCACGATCCTTAAAATAGACTAGGGAACTCAAAGAGTATCGAGTGGTTAGAATTTCCAATAATAAAGTATCAAGTAGTTAGAATTTCCAATAATAAATCTGGCATGCATGATGAAGAAAGATTCCAACTAAACTTATTACTGGCTGTCATTACCTTACCTTAAATTTGTCATTAGTATTGAGGAATTTAAATTTGTCATTAGTATTGAGGAGGAATTTAAATTTGTCATTAGTATTGAGGAGTTAGAACATTTATTCTGCATGGGTCATATAACTTATTACTGGTTGTCATTACCTCAAACCTTTAATAATTCTCCATGATTCAAACTTTTAATAATTATCTCATGCATGATTAAAAGAGATTCCAACTAATCTAAAAGCATCCTCTTCACTAAAATTCTTAGATAAATCCCCATCCCTCCACTTCTTGAACAAAATCAACCCTTTAGCCAACGCTTCCAATTTGAAATCACTAAACCAACCATTTCTCTCCTATCTCAAATAAAGGAAAAAAAAAAAACAACCAACCATTCTCTACAAATAATGTCTATCGATGAGTTCATTCAAGATCCACAAAATAGACCACGGAACGAGTATTGAGGAGAATTTCCAAGATCCACAAAATAGACTACGGAACAAGTATTGAGGAGAATTTCCGTACCCCCTATACTATATATGCTATGAAATAATGGTTTGTATTATTTACTTTGTATGCTTCATTAGAATTTATACGTGCTATGATACAACGGTTTGTAAGTTGAACACTTTCTTGTAATTCTTCTTATATTCCATGTATAATGTTTAGATAATGAGGTATGTATTGACTATTATATATGCTTTGTAATTTGGATTTGGATATTTTCCCCTGGGCATGAGGGTTAGAAGAAGTACAGTGGTGGAGAATGATCTGTCATCTCTTTTGTAGCAATCCATGTCTCCGCAGCAAGCCTTCTTCCCACGTATCTATATGACTTTGATTTGAAAGCCCTGATCAAACTACTATTCCTCCTATCAAAGTGTAAGACACCTCTCATTTAATATCACTATTTGTGCAAGTACTTTACGATTAAGAAGCCACTGTCCTTACAAATTGTGCATTCTCGATGTCTCTCAATATCTCTCTCAATTTGATAATTCAGGATTTGAATTCATGTCCTTTCATTGAGTCCTCCTACAATGCATTGATTTATCCTAAAGATTTCATTTCAGTTAGAATTTGGTTATTCACCATGTACGAGGATCCCCGTTAAGCATCCCCGACCCCTCAAAGACAACTCGGCAGTGGAGGGATCTTCAAGAGTACATAAATGTGATGTACAATGTTTAGTGAATGTGTACTTCAAGCTCTCTGTTAAGTATTTTAATGTTTGGTTCTAGAGTGATCGAAATGACAACAAAATATTCTTCTGAGTTCTGATACAAGTAAGCTTGCTGGGAACCCTTGTTGCATGAAAAGCCTTAGCGGCCCTTAATTATAATTTTAGTGGATAAAACAAATTCCTACAATATAAGGAAAAAGCTTTCATGTCAGTGTCTATTTAGAAGAGATGGCTAGCAAGCTGACTTGTTAGTTTTAATCATTTATGCAAGTAGCCAACTCCTAGATAATGGTTCAAACCAAGGTATAAAATATTAATGATATCAGAAATATTAGTAGTCCAAAAACACGGAAATTTCGATAGAAATATCGGGATATTATCGATATCAATAAAAATTGAATAAAAACCACATAAATTGTAAGAAAAACTTGGAAATTTTTATTGAAATTTTGCATGATGTTTATTTAGTCAATTATCTATTAGTTTATCACAAAAAATTAGAAGGAAATGCATTGCATGATAGATATAACTGATTTAAGTTGATTATATAGCAAGCTGACAAACATTGTGAGTGTAGAAAATATGTAGTAATTAATGAAAGAAGTTTAAACACACCATAATCATTTATATAATGAATTAGTACAATATTATACACCACTTAGCAAGGTCTAAAATATCAATGATATCGGAAATATCGGTAGTCCAAAAAAATATCTGTAGTCCAAAAACACGGAAATTTCGATGGAAATATCGGGATATTATGGATATTTTAGACCATGGTTCAAACAAACATATATGCTAAAAACCTACGCTTAAATTATAAATGAGGGCTAACAAGGGTTTGTAGCAAGCTGACTCGTTGATGAAATCGAGAGAATATTTACTATTATTAGGGTAAGTTTTGTCGGAAATAATGAAGGAGTGCACTGATGTGTTAGTTTTGGAGTTATGAGGCGTATAGATAAAAACACCAATGTTTATTTTCTTTTATTTTCTCATTCTTATTTATTTAAAAGTAAAATTGGAAGGAAGTTGGATAAAACTTGTTAGTTGGGTGTAAAGATAAGATAACGAGATCCAAATAAAATTTTCCAATTTTTAATATTTTTTACAAAACATAATTAAAAAGGGTTCACTTATTATTGTAAAAATAATTTCAAACAAGCTCGAGAGAGAGAGAGAGAGAGAGAGGAAAAAAAGAAGATGAAATGTAAAACTTGACTAGAAGATACTACACCATAGAGAGAGAGAGAGAGAGAGAGAGAGAGAGAGAGAGGAAAAAAAAAAGATGAAATGTAACAAACTTGACTAGAAGGTACTACACTAGAGAGAGAGAGAGGGGGAAAAAAAGAGATGAAATGGAACAAACTTGACTAGAAGATACTACTCTAGAGAGAGAGGGAAAAAAAAAAGAAATGTAACAAACTTGACCAGAAGATACTAACTAGAGAGAGAGAGAGAGAGAGAGAGAGAGAGAGAAGAAAAAAAAAAAGATGAAATGTAACAAACTTGACTAGAAGATACTACACTGGTGGACGAAGCTGTTGATGGGCTTGGCCTGATGTGGTTGACCCGGTTGGGCTCATAGGGTCCAAATATCTAACTTGTTTGCGGTTTGACGAATGATAATAATACTTGTCAAATCTCGACGGTCTGGATCTAAAGATGTTCCTAAAGCTTCATTACGGTTTGTTTGTTTTTATGTTTTTTAGGTTGGAAGAACCGTTAGCTTTAATCGTTTGACAAATGTTTTTAGTCTTGTAGATTTGCTTAGACCATCTCTAATGGGAGATGCCAAAACGTAACTTGACATGCATTCGAATCATAAGAGCTAGTAATAATGATATTCTCATATTGATGACGTTATTGTTGCGTTAATAAAAAAAAGCAGTACCAAATAAACCTCTAGAAAGATCAGAAGTTGTCCGAGTTGCTATCTATTCATGGTGAGTAGGATGCCCCATGGGTCGAGGACTCTAGATTCTAGAACGAAGCTCAACCTCATAATGACAAATATACATGGAGAACCAATCAAATTGCGAGAAATGTCGATAACCCAGTTGTTTAAAGTTAAAATACATCATGGAATCGAGGATTATGGGGATTCGTAAATTGTGTCTGTTTATCATACATTATGTGGTAATAAATCATTTTAATTTTATTTAAAATTGAACACAAATAGTATCTGATGAAAACGGATCGCATAATGTACGATTAACGAACACGATTCATAGATCCTCATAAAGATGATCTGGAAAAGATCCTGTTGGATGGAGAAGTAAACTCAACGTAAGTAATAGTTCGATACAACGTGGCCAAAAACAAGAAGCCGAAAGGAACATGTCGAAATCGTGGTTCAAACTTCAAGCTTGGAAACCGACTTGTTGTCCAATGTTGCCACAAGCATCTTAAAAAAATCTTTTCCTCTGCCCGAATGTTTCATGCACTTGGAGTAATTAAATCCTTGTTAATCATCAAATCGTTGACAAATCAAAGATTGACTTGAACACCACAGTGGTTCTGGTTCAAGAAATTCTCATATTTCATATATTTGTTTTAACAACCCAACGTTTTTACAGTAAAGACGTCCACACAACATAATTCAAAAGTTTCAATGTGTGATTTTTTTAAACTATCTCGATACTCATCTGGTGTGGTTCATTGCACAAGGTGAGATAGTCGGCAGTGTTGCTTGACTTTATTATTATTCACATGAGATTGCATACAGGGGAGGATGTACTTTGGAATCGAGGTGGTTTTTGGAACCATTCAAAGTTTGGGAAATGTAGATATGAAGACTATCTGATGACTTTTTGAATGTTTGGTATGTGTACATTTTTTTGCCACCAAGTGTTTGATTTAATGTCTACTAAGTATATCTTGATGGGTTATGTCGACAATACTCAACAAATTTTCTCGATATCACTAATCAGATTGCTTCGATATGTGTTGATATATGATGATATGTGCGCAACGTAGTTTGGCTAACAATAACAAGCCCACCAAGTATTCCATGAAATGCCTTAGTAAATAAACTGATTTTTTTTTTTGCACACTTCGAGTCCTGTTTCTATCTCAAAAACTTGAACGTTTAACACTGGAACCTCCAAAGTTCAAATCATGGATCCGCCACTGATTACATAGAGTTACGTAGAACCAAAATACAAGAAATCATTGTTTTTGTGAGAAATGTCTTCCTAGTTATGTGTTCTTCCACCTGTACACGAGTTTTTATGACATTTTCAAGTCTAATTTTTTTCGATTTTGACACATTTACTTGACAGGATTGAGGGAAGTAAGGAATTGGAGAACATGAAACCAATTCCTTTTCTAACTATGAATTTCCTTTCTTTCTAATATCCCTTCATTGATTAAAAAAAAATAAAATACAATCATAAGGTTAAAAAGGTAAATGATGAATTAAAATCCTCTCTAAATCTCGTAGTCTAAAACCGACGATAAAAAAAATCGAACCACTTATTTTAAATCTCACGACTCCCATTAACCCATCACATGAAACCACCTTACTTAAACAAAAAAATAATCGCTTTTGCTCTCTCTCTTTTGAACAGCCCAGATATTTCGATCCGTCGCTTTGAATTGCGAGATTAGGACAGGATCTGAATTGGTAAACGAAAAAGATGGCAATGACACGTCAGGCAAAACAAAGAGGAAAAAGAGGCAGACAAAGTAGGCGGGGACTTTGACATTTCCGTATTATTTTTCCCTCCACCACCCAATCACGCATTCATTCATTCGTAATATCAAATTTTAAAATTCAAATTTTCGTGATATCAACTGCTAATCCACATTTCATATCCAAAGATTTCCCAAAATTCAAATCCAACTCTCGCAATTTCATACCAGTCAAGATATTCCCCATTTTCCCACGAGATTTCCGGTTTTCCTAATCACGCGTTTAGTCCCGTAGAAAATCCTCACCATTTTGTTTTGCAGTCAAACATATAAACTCTAGAATTTCTACTCTCTTTCCTTTTCAACTCTCTGCATTTGTTTTCTTGATTGATAAACGGTGTTTGGTTGCTGAGAAAATTACTGGGTTCTCAAGGATCATCTCTGCAAATAGGTATGTTGGTTGGTTGGTTCATGTTTTTATTTGTGTATGTGTTTGGTTGCCGAGAAAAAGTAAGAAGGAAATCAGAGGTTGTGAACCGAGTTTTGTTTGCTTATGCAGGTGTAATTGGAAAGCTCTTGTGGATTTTTTGAATTGGGGCAAACGATGGGTGGGGTGTGCTCGGGCGGGGTGTCTGGTGAGGAAAATCCCGATCACGGCGGAGGGAAAAGTGCTGGATTTTCCGGGAAACTCAAGTCGGTGAGGAGCATCGGCAAGAACAAGGAGAATTCTAGTCCTTCGTTTTCCGAAGGAATTGCTCCGCGGAAAACACCCAACAGGTTTGATTCCGGCGAGCTGCAGTCTTCAGTTTCCCGCGAATTGAAGCCCTCAACTCCGGCTAGGACTGCTACTAGCAAGGTATCGATTGCTTTAGTTTTGTACTGGAATGGTTTAGGGAAATACTGGTCGATGTATTTTTTGTTTTGAACTTGGAAAATGTTGGAAGCACTTCTGCTAGAAGTGATTTTGGTATAATCATGTCGAGATTTTTATTAAGAACCCAAGTACTTCCCGGAAAAACACTTGGAAGTACTTTCTCAATGCTTCTCCATAAGCCGCTTCTTACGACCCATGTATGCTTTTAAGTTTTGATGTCAAATGTAGTGATAAGAGCTGTTGGTTGTCAGATAACACTTTTAGCCACTTCAGTAGAAGCACTCTTGAAAAAACTCTTATATTTGTGGCATTATTGCTTTAGTGTTGTGTTTTCTATGGTAGGTTACCCCGAAGAACTCGTTCATAGGAAAGGCTGGCATTGTTGGCCTGGAGAGGGCAGTAGATGTTTTGGATACGCTCGGCAGTAGCATGTCGAATTTGACTGTCAATAGCGGATTTCTTACTGGCGGGGTGTCTAGAGGCAGTAGGATCTCAATATTGTCGTTTGAAGTAGCTAATACAATCACCAAAGGTGCAAACTTGTTGCAATCTCTATCAGACGAAAACGTCCAGTTTCTAAAGAAAGATGTTCTACATTCGGAAGCTGTACAAAACTTAGTTTCTAAAGATATGAAGGAGTTGCTACGCATTGCCGCTTCTGACAAAAGGTGGTTGTTGTGTAGAGAATAGGTTGAATTTAGTTGAAGCTATTCGTTGCCTTTCGTTATCTTACCATTTTTTTTTTTTTGCATGCTCGCCTGCAGGGAAGAGCTTGATGTTTTCGCACGTGAAGTGATAAGGTTTGGAGACTTGTGTAAAGACCCACAATGGCATAGCCTGGGTCGATACTTCGCAAGGTGGGTTGATTTGTGAGAATTATGCTGCTGCGATTATATTGATGAATTTCCACTATTTTAATATCTTCTGTGAATTTGAATTTCAGACTAGATTCAGATGATGATTTAGGGTACGAACAACTACGATCAGAGGTAGACATGACGATGCAGGAATTGACCACTCTTGCTCAGCATACTTCTGTAAGTTGGAGATTCATAATAACCAACAATTTGTATATATTGAAGTCAACTTGAAGAGACTAATTTTATCGACATTTGTAGGAATTATACCATGAGTTAAATGCACTGGACAGATTTGAACAAGATTACCGGAGCAAGGTAGAGGAAGCAAAAACCTTGCATCTCCCTCCAAGAGGTTCGTCGATTTTTGTTTTTGGTTTGCTTTCTGTTTTGGGGTTTCAGCGAGTGCCATCCTTTGAGTATTTGAATAGTCTAGTTTATAACATCGAAAGACATTTATGGATGCTTTTTTCTTTTTATTTTCAGGAGAGACTCTGATGATGTTGTTAAGTGATGTAAAACAACAAAGAAAGCTTGTAAGAAGCTTGAAAAAGAAATCTCTTTGGTCTAAAAATTTGGATCAGGTACCATCGTGAAACACTTTTCAAATTGCATAATTCTTTCCTACCATTTGCTAACATTATTCAAAACAATGCACAGCGATAGTTCATTATTTGCCTTCGACGGGGCACAATAGGATTTCATTAGTATTCATCTTCCCTTATTGCTATCACATTGTATTTTTCTTTGCAGATTGTCGAGAAACTTGTTGATGTTGTTACTTATACACATCAAGCAATCTTGGAAGCATTTGGACATAATGGTAGGAGCAGTCTCTCACTCCGAGAGCAAAAATTGATAACTGTATACATATGCCTTAGTGGATGTCGAGGAATTGTTCATAAGAGCTTTCTTCATCATGACTCAAACATAATGAACAACTTGAGCTTGCGTTATCACTTAGTCGATTACAAACTTACTTACGATATAGCTGGCAGTTTCAGTTTCCGCACGCTCTATAATGTGCTTTTTTAATCTTGTACATTATGATTTCTATTACAGGTCTGACTTTGGTTAGTGCAGACAAGAGCAAAGATCCTCAAAGACTAGGGGTGGCTGGCCTTGCGCTACACTACGCTAACATGATCAACCAAATTGATAACATTGTAAGCTTAATTCTCCGTTTCTGTATATTGTGTCTCATATACTCGGTATACATTTGCAAAATAATATGTACTCATGAATGATTAATCCTAATAGGCGTCCCGACCAACCTCCCTCCCACCAAACACACGGGACACATTATATCAAGGTTTACCAATTACAGTCAAACAAGCTTTACGATCCCGATTGCAGACTCTTGATGCCAAGGAAGAGGTATCACAATGCATTTAACACACATTTGTCCATTGTTTTATATTGTAGATTCCTCATTAGATTTTGGTTTTCTCCTTGGAGCTTCAGCATTCCAATCGGCTTATCCTTTTTTATGTTGCGTTTCTGCAGCGCTCTGTTCCTCAGGTCAAGGAAGAAATGGAAAAGACTCTCCATTGGCTTGTTCCAGTTTCCACAAATACGACCAAGTATGTTCTGTAGCATGCTAATCGAAAGTTGCTGTCAATGCTTTGCCCGTGTTTGTTTTCATTCTTTTGAATCGAACTCCGCAAAGAAATTTATTACGCATTGTCGTTACTGTCTTGCTTCCACTAATCTCTGTTTTCCTTATGTTGCAATTTGTGGCAGAGCACATCAAGGCTTCGGGTGGGTTGGAGAATGGGCAAATTCTGGGTCAGTCAAGGCCCCCCTCTCTCACTCTCTCAATATTTTCTAACCTCAATTGAAGCGATTAAGTTCAACTCTGACCGTGTTTTCTGTTTTACAGTCCTGAGTTTGGTAAGAACGGATCCTCACAGGTTAACCTGATCCGCCTCCAGACGCTATATCACGCAGACAAGCAGAAGACGGATCTCTACATCCTCGAACTAGTCGCATGGCTTCACCATCTGATCAACCTTGTTAGACAAGGAGATCATGGCGTGAAGCCTTTGCATACGCGGTCTCCAACTCGTAAAGGGTTGGATATTCACTCCAACATGCAGCAGTTTCTAACCAAGTCCTACAACACCAAGTCCCAAAAAGTCCAACTTTCGGAAGAAGACCGGAACCTGTTAGACGAGGTGATCGGGAGAATGAAAAGGGTTCCCGGGATCAGTAAGAGTCAGGAGTTTTCGATTGCCGAGAGGAAAAGAAGAGGAGTTTGGGGTTTGAGCAAGAGCACAGGGAGTTCCCCTTCAAGGGAGCTGGGTTCAAGGTGTAAAAAATTGCTTAAGCGAAAGAGTAATGCTTTGGATGTCATCGACGGCTTAGATTCAATATATTGAGAGTCTTCAGTTTCAAATTTTCAATCAAAATTTTTTATAAATATTTATATTTCTCTGTATATAATCTTCAGATGATTAGGGTTATTGTATATATGTACCACCTATATATTTATACAGAAATGGAGTTATTTTATGTAGCTCATGAGAGTGACTTATGTACGGAAAAATTAATGTGATACTGAAATACGATTATGTGTTAATTAATATATAAGTAGTTTGTACTCATGGACTTCCTTTAAGTGTTGGAAGTGTTGGTCGATCAGTTAGGATCTAAAATGATAAGAGCTCGATTAGAAGTGCTGTTAAACTGATTAAAAGCGTTTTGGTTAATTTGTTTTTGAAAATAATTCTTAGTAAAATAGTAAGTGAACTTGGAAAAACGTTTTATTGCTTTGTGCGGATCACATAATTAGTGTTTCTTGCAGAATGTACTTTAAGTGGTTTTGGAAACAAAAAGAATTCTTTCCAACTGTGTTCAGTCATTTTAGTAGTCCAAACAAGCCCTAAAACAACTTTGGGTTTGTTTGAGGTGGCCTCTATAAGGATTAGAGGATAACCAAAAGTGCTTTTATCTATGTTTAACAAAAAATAAAACAACTTATTTAGAATTTTACCTAATCTTTTTACATGTTCATATTAAAGCTTGAAGGCACTAGTTATAGAAATGGAATAATTATTTGCGAACAATTATAAAATGGAATAACCTAAAAAGTAATTTTAAAAATCATTTCGTTTTTAATTTTATGAACAATTTTTATTTGTGTTACTTTTTTTTATAATTGTTTCTCTTTTTGGAAAATATGTAACTTCAACACATTGAACTGAATGCTGAAATTAGAAATAATGAATACAAATTTGTTAAAAAAGTTTCGCGACTGAATTTTGGTGTTTGGGGGCGTTTTAGGAATAGAAAAGAATAGGGATCAGATGGTAAAACAGGAGAGTGCCCAATTGTCGTAACAGGCTTTGGGGCAGACACCCATCTCTCGCATTTTAATTTGCGAATTATGACCACTCATCACATCCCGTTTCTGCCTGAAGGATCATGCCTTCTACGGACGTTGTCCCGCCCTTTTATTCACGCCGCTTCAACCAATATTATATTCCATCGTCGATGTGGGATTGCCTTCGTCCGCTTTCCCGCTCTTTGATAGTTCATCTTCCACAGCCAGGTTTCTTCATAGGCTCAAACTCTGTAGCTTCATCTTCACATAGAGGATCAAACTTGTAATTAAAGAAACAGATTTTAATTTCATTGATGAATAATTACCAAAATTGATTTGTCTTAGCTTTAGAGATGGTTTAGCGGTACACGACTAATCAATATTAATACGGCTTCTAACTTAACCACTTGTGCATGGTGTGAGGTTTTATACAAAGACTTTGATGCAAGTAGAATTGGTTTCAATGTAAGGAGATTTAACTTCAAGAGTCTTCCGATGTGAGACATGCTAACGTGGCACCACATGAAGACGTTTATTCATAGTGAAGTGCTTCGAATAGGATCCAATCCCATCTCGACAGTAAAAATCCGTCATGACTCAAGTCACTTGTCGGATGTTTGATTTCATAAGGTTAATTTTCAATGTGAGACATGCTTCAAGATGGTCCAAACTTTATTGATTAATTACAAAGTTTTGTTTCGACCTGTTTAAGTGTTCATGATATGGGCCCAAACACAAATCCTCTTAAGTTGGAATCACAAATATGATGTTTACAAATTACAAGTAGCCAATTATCATATGTTGGCTACTCAAGTATAAGTAGGATTCCTACAGAAAATTCTTTGTATTCAAATTACAGAGCTTTGTATTTATGATCAAAACTAATCATATTATGAATCACTCCTTAAATATCACCTATGCAAAAAAATATATTAATACTAAGGTCATTTAGAGACAATTGAGCAAATACATAGACAATTATGTGGAGCAAAAAATAATCAAGAAAAATATGGAGGCAACATGTGGATTATAGGGTTAAAAGGACAAAATTACCCTCAAGATACACCGGAACCTACGTGCGAGTAGTGGACAATCATTCCTTAATCAAGTCAAAAGTGCTCAAAATAGGTATTTATTCAAAACATATTTCATCCATGATCATCAAATCTTCTCCGTAACCTCCAAAACATTCATTTCAAATTATATTAATTAGCTAATTAATCTATTAATTTGCTAATTAACTACAAATTACACCCAAACAAAGGGCCGGTCACCATCTCTCCAAAGGGGGTCAACCATGCCTTATATATATTATCCAATTTTCTCTAAAAACCTAAGTTCTATACTCTTACTAAATTCTCTAAATTCTCCAAACACTTTTCCCTCAAAATTCTAACTTTGACATCTTCATAGTGGGCACGTGAGACTCTTGGTCTTGACCTAAGGTATTGTTTGTTTTGTAGGTGCAATTTTGTCCAAGAACAAGAAGAAAGAAATTTGCATCCACAAGTTCGTAATGCTTTTATCAATTTCATTCATCTGTTTTATATAGTTCGATGATTAAACAACCTTTGTTTTAATCGATTATTTGCAGAAAAGATATTTATAGAGTGATTTATAAGATAAACTGTTCTGATCAATAAACACGAAGATCTATTAATCGTCAACAAACAATTTTGAATAGAAACTCATACTCATCATTTGATTCTTCAATCCATCGAGCATTTTCAAATCAATTTATATTGGGACATGAAGTCAATTGAAATGAAGCAAGTACTCCACATGAGCCTTGAGTGCTTCACTTCGCTGAATCGCTGCCACCCATCATTCTACTCATCATTTGATTCTTCAATTAAATTTCTAACATGCAACGCTGCACCGCCCAAATTTCATTTGCGCCGCGAATACGGGGCGCATCGTCCGCACTTAGATCTCTGCTCTTCCCTGCTTAACGCTAAAGAGACAACAAATTAAGATTAAAAAAAGCAGGACTGCAGAACTGCACACGTACTCAAAGGGAACAAAATTCGGAGAGCAACCTGGTTTAAATTGTTGTGTTGTAATTTAGTAAACCGAGATACATGTTGGATCTCCTCACGTGGGCGTGGCTTCCGTCTGAGTCACTGCCACCCTTTCTCGGCTAGCTCGACACTGTCCCTTCCACGAACATGCAAGCATTCTTATTTACGTTGCTTTTGATGGGTACCTGGTTTATATACGTTGAATCTTTACCATATTATGCGACAGTACCAGAACATTATACTATACAATGAACTGCACAAAATTATACTTAAGAAACCAGTCGGTGGTTTTGTCACGGCTGTCTACTTTTTTGGCAGTTAAAAGAACTCACAGAAGCATTTTATGGCTTGTTTGGTACTCTACTTGAATCCAACTTTTTTAACTAAAAAACAATTGTTAAGTTTTAGGTCTTAAAAAATTTGTTTGGTAGGACTATTTTAAAAAACTGAACTCAAGACTAACTCAAAAATATAATCTATTATCTAAAAACATAAAAAGTGAGTTTTTAGGTTTTTTAAGCTTAAACTTACTCATTTCTTTTCTTCAATCATCTTTTACTTTATTTCCTCATCTCTCATCTTTCTCCCTATCATGCGACCCCCTCTTTTTAGATTTTTTTGTTTAGTTTAAATCGCAAGTCAATCAATTTTTTGAATCTTAAAGAAAATTATTTTCAAGAAACGTTCTTTAAAAATGTTTTGAGAAATGATAAAAATTTTCAAATATGATACCAAATAGACCCTTAGTCTCTTCCTAATCATTATTATATAATTTACCAGTATCAGAAATCGAATACAGGGCTTTAAACATAAAATTACGTCTGCATCCAAACAGCCAGCTGGGCATAAGTTTATAAGCAGTCACATTCAGCATTTTCTGATGTGTCATTTTCGTCTTATCCTACGAACCTTGAAACACGAACTTGGTCTTATCCTTATTGGAACTCTTGTCTCCTATGGATGAACCTTAATAATATCCGTCACATTCGCTGATGGGATCACAGAGTTCCTAAATCCAACGTGGCCCGTTGGCATTGGTGGCCTTACTACTCTAATACCACCGTTCCTTCCGCACGGCGGTAACCCACGTGCCAAGTCGGCCGCCCGTCGTTTACACCGCTTTTGTGTTTCCGCTGCGGTGGGCCATCCCAGATGTGCTTCCCTATCCGGCGGTTGCCTCTCAACAAACCGCGTCAATAATTAATGGAAAGGAACTTAGGGTCATTTCTTTCTAATCCATTAAATCAAAAAATTCGTGTCGTTGAAATTTGATTCAATAACTATAAATAGAGGCACACTTTAAAAGTTATAATAACTTCAACCGTTGATCAAATGTCAATGGCATAGATCCTCTAATTTGGTGGATTAGGAGGAAGAGATCCAAATAAGATGCCTTTCCATAATTAATACTAGCAAACGCCACACAGTCTATGTGTGTGAAATAAAAAAAAATATTCTCAAATATTGTTTTAAAAGAAAAAATTCGGCAAGAGTTATGCAGGCATTAGATTAAAAAAAAATGTAAAAAGTGTTGGTAATTATGGAGAAAGAGTGTGTTTGGAGGATAATGATAAGGTGACATTGTTGTGAGGTTTAAAGAAAAGGCAAATGTTGTTTGTTTGAAATTACTTTAATGCCCCCATTTTTTTTCTTTTCTCACATTTTTTTTTCAATTATGTTTAATGAGGACTGGACTGGATTAGGGAGGACTGGACTAGACTAGACTGTAGTCCCTTGTTTGGTCTACACCAAGATTAGGTTTAATGAGCTTAGGTCGGACTCGCTCGGATTAACCACCTCGCTACGAGTTCTTAACGAGGATCCCCAATTTCGGCTGGATTCGTAAGCCCTCTTTTGATAGAGAGAAAATCGCGAGAGAGTCAGTCGTCCAAGACCCAACGTCGCTCGTCTTGCTTGTCGCACATCGCTCCCTCCTTGCCCTGCTCCATCTTCTTCCTCGCTTCCACAACCATTTTCAAACCCATATCCCGCAAAATTCAAAACAAAAAAAAAATGCAATCATTCCATTTTTCAAATTCAGATCCAACCTGCAAAATAGAACCTAGAAAACCGAACCCAGAAACCATAAAACACAAAAAAAAATAAAAAATCTGCAGTGGTTATAAGCTTAAATCAACGATGGGATTGATTGAAGGCAAACCGAACCCAGAAAACATGAAACTCCTTGATTGCAGAGCTTCGCCATCTCCCACTTTCAAGCCAATCACACATGCAACCCGCTCCCAACTCCTAAATTTTCAATCTCTTTCTTGCTTTGTGGTTTGACTGTGAAGATTTGCAGTCGATTATGAAGTTGGGAGATGAATAGCTTCTGGGTTTAATTTTGATGTTAATTTCTTTCATCAAAAGATGGAGATGAATAGAGAACAAAATGAAGAAAAAAGGGAGATGAAGAGGAAGAGGGACGAAGAAAAAAAGGGAGATGGACGAAGAAAAATTAGGAAGAAAACAGAGGGAGAAGGGCGGAGAAAAAGGAAGAAAGAGGGGATGAACGGAATTGGGAATGGAAGAAGGCTTATAGAATCAGAAAATAGGCAGATTTAATAATAAAATATTACTAAATATTTATTAAATAATGTAAATATTAATAAATATGAATTAAATAATATAATATTAGAATTTGTTATTAGTCTATTCCTTAGTCCCGACATTGCACCAAATGATTTACTAAACTAGTCCAGTTTAGTCTAGTCTAAGCCAATCCAGTTTAGTCCATGTAGCTAGTCCAGTTCGAGACAGTCCGATGCAACAAACGCACCCTAAAGGTTATAGTTGTAATTTTATTATTTTTTTATTGACAAAGTTAGTTATATTAATATGTAGTTTTGATTAAAAACTAGATATTCACGTTTATTCTCTATTTAGCTTCACAATTAATTGACTTTTTTGCTTTTGTTTACTTATTTTATATTTGGATTACGTTATTTTATTAAAATAATAATAGATCCAACTGTTATTGTACCCATAAGAATCTATTTGTTGGACTAAAGTTATATTTATATAATTTATATTCCTTAATTGTTTCTCACTAACATTATCAGTTGGTAGATAACGAAAACAACTAAAGATTTTATGTATAAAACCACTTAACTCTTTAATTAAATAAAAACATTGCGATGGATAAATTATGTAGTTCTGTCTACATAATTCTTTTGCTACCAATAGACTTTAAACTAGTAAGGTCATCTCCAATCGAAGGTTCCAAAGGGCCGAAAATAGTCCGAAAATCGTCTCCAACCGAAGGCCAGGCCAAAGGGCTCGTGGGCCCCATTGGACAAAAAATGGCCAAAGGGCCAACCTATGTTTGACCTTATAGCCCTTTGGCCCTCGGTTGGAGACGGTTTTTTGTTACATGGCTAAAACGAGCCATATGGCCATCAGTTAGAGATGGTAAGAAATATGACACTGCACTGTTCATTAAAATATTAATTTCTTGGAAAACCAAATGGCTAAAATGAACCATCTGGTCAGTCTTCGATTAGAGATGGCCTAACATCCCCATTCTTGTGTGACAGCGGTTTTCTTCCTTTGACTTTCTGTATGCCTAAAATCCAATCGTTTTGTATAAATCAAAACTATCAAATAACTCTTGTAGAAAGCAAATTTTATTTTTTTCACTAGGCGGACTTTTAGTATAAGAAGGAAGAACAATGCATATTTCGAGTCTTCTAGATGCATATTTTGATTCTTCTAGAGTGTTTTTTTTTTTTTTTTTTAAATTTTTTTTTTAAAGATGTGATAGAACTTCATTGAGAGAGATAATTAGATACAAAAGTCAACAAGGCAAAAAAACTTAACATACATATTCCTCAACCAACAAATCATCTAAGAACAAAGGTGGATCGACATTCCAAACACAAGGCGCATCACTTTGAGCGAAGCGAGCAAAGTGGTGGGCTACACTTTCCCTCTTTATAAACAAACACGCCCTTAAATAAAAGATTGACGTTAATATGAACACCGATTGTGTTGCAAGAACTATATGTAACAAAATAACGAGTTTACCTAATATAGAGCATAATATAATATCCGCTAACAATTTTATTTGTTAAATTCTTGGTTATTGAATCTTTGAGCACACATCTCACTATTAATTTGTATGACCCATGCTATGGAGAGATTTTTTAATGTTATTGCAATACAAGGTGATACACCACGTGCATAATTTATGGTAAGGGTGCAACTTGGGTTGGGCCAATCCGAACTCGCCCATATCCAACCCGACTTTAAACCTGAACAAGCATGTTTTTTTAGTTATAACCCGCCCGAACCCAACCTAATTTCAACCCGTTCATTGATTGAGTTGGGTTGGGTTGATCTTTTGCATGTCCATCCCCACCCTGATTAACCAAACTCAATCTAACGAGATTGTAACTCATATCAATTAATGCTCATACTACATCTAAGTGGGCTAAGTCCACAAATCAACGGCCTTTTTATTTTTAATAAATTACCCTTTATAATTACTTAAGTTTTTAGGGAATATGAGGCTTTGATTAGTCAACCCATATTCATAGTCTAGAAATCCTAAAGCTTTATAATCATTAGTCTCCAAAACCTAAATTCTTTGTGTCTCGAAGTAATTGCTCATCAACTTTGATTTATTTATAAAATTAAAGTTAACTAGCTTTGATGCTACTTGGCTTAATTTTTTTTAGAAATTCTTGGAAATTAAGTTGTTACAAGATTATACTCAAAATAGTTAGGCAACCCGAACCCAACCCAAGTAAACCCGAATCCAATTAAAACCTAGTCCAAATAAACCCGAATGAAACCTTGAATTGTAAAAATTAGGTTAGGATTGAGTTGACCTTCCAACCCACCCGAGTTGCACCCTTAATTTATGGAAAGATTTGTAGTGTTGCTCGAAAGGGATACTTGAAAATTAAAACTTTTCTCTACTTATATAATGAAATATGACGTACCACGCTATGATTCGTTCCATGAAAAAATTTCTCCAGACCATGAGATATGCAAATTCTAGAATTTTCGCAAAAATTAAAGATGGAAAAGGTGTCACTCCATTATTGGTTAACCTATCAAAGTCCCTGTAGGTCCAACGCATTGTTGCCATTTGTCAACCTCACACATACAAAATCTAGTCAGAAACCAAGTGAAACCCAAAACCCAAACCAACACA